TAGAATTTCAATAAAATCATAGACTTAACTTTTTAAATCAAAAACAACTTTTTAAAGCAATATAAAATTGCTTCCTTTTTCCATCATTATTCAAAAATAATACTTTCAACGTTGTGTAGGTTGAAAGAGTTTAAAAATGACAGAATAAATGCATAAACACATTTCCCCTGTCGTATTTAATTTAAAAATTCAAAAATAAATAAAGCTCATTAGAAAGAAAATTCTTTAAATTTCATTAAATAATTCCCTGGAAAATCCCTAGCTTAAAAAAGTCTTCAAAATTGTATATGTACATATAAGAAGATTTATGTTTTATTCAAAAAATAATATTCCTAATTCGTTGAAGAGATTAAGTTTTAAATCTCCTTTTTTGAGTAGGATTTACAAGCAAATTTGTCATAAAGTAATATTTTGCACTTCCAGAAGGCAAACAATCTTACAAAACAAATTCTCATCTTCGTTCTAATGCAAATGATACTTTATTCCTTTTCTTCCTCATAAATTTAAATTTAGAGGAAGTCAAGCAAATTGAAATATTTGAAAATTCAATAAAACTGTTTCTTGAGTAAATTATGAATAAATTCCATAATCTCAGATCAAAACTGCCTTCTTTATCATCTTTATTTTCTTTCCTTTTTTTTGTCAAGAAAAACGAGAATCCAAAAAGCTTAAACATCTTAATATTATTTTCATACCGAATCTTCATTCATACATTTTGGAAGCAATGTTTGTCATTTAAATAATGTTTTTTGGCTGCATTTTGAGTGGCTGTTTTCTTTGAAGTATGATTCTCCTTGAAAATGAACCTATTTTGAGATAATCTAGAACGTTTTCTGTTTTTAAACTTATCCTATTCCTTTTCATATCCAACCCTTATCCTCATACCCTATCATTATTTCTGCCTTTTCCCTATCGCTTTCCATACATTATCCCTTGCCATAACCAATCCCTATACCTACCAATTCCTTATCCCAACCCTAACCTAAACCAGTTGTTGTTACCTCAAAAGAATTTTCGAATGCGTCACACAAGATCTTCTATCATGCCCTATCCTACGAGTCCCTTCTTATCTCCAAGAAAAAAAGCAAGAAAGCAACCGAGCAAGTAGAAAGTTCAGAATCATTTCACATTTTACAGACATATACCCAAGCACATATGAAGGGGGCAAATAGAAAACGAAGAAATAAAAACTGAATATAAAGATTTATTTACATAAATGACATATTTTGGCTCCTTCGCTTCCAATAACATTCGAATGAATTTATTTTGAATGTATATTTAAACTTCGCACAAACATAAAATCCTATTCAAATTCCCATAAATCTTCCTAGCATTTTTTATTCTTCTTCTTTATTTATTTTTTTGTGCTCTTCTCACCCGCTATACATTATGCTCACTATGTATATATGCAATAATAATATGTAATAATATTCCAAAAAAATAAAGACTTTGAAGCGTGGGAGGAATTGGTAGGTTTGATGTCGCTATTAAAACGATTTGGTGAGTTTTATCAGGCTTTAATTTTGTTCAATAAGATAAAATTGATTTTAGCTAGTCTTAGTAGTATTGTTGATATTTAAGATAATCTAATCCTAACCAGGTATGCTTGGTGTAAGTTAAGAGAAGTAAGGTTAAAAATAAACTATGAGAATTTGACTTGCACTGATACAAATAAATCTTTTGAACCTAGATTATTTTTGGTTTTGCTTACATCAAATATTTTCCAACAGATCTAGGTTGAGTTGTCTTCTCGGATGAACCTAGATTCATAGTTTAAGAAAATATCTGAATAATTTAATACAGTGAACATTATCCAGCCCTAATTCAACATAAACCTCTTCACATTTAGTTTCCCAGCCATTAATTCACGGTTCTATACCAACTCCAAACACTTCTACCCTACAAAGACAAAACAACATTAAAGAAGTCTGTACGCAAGAATTTTGAAGAAAAAATCTCAGTTTTTTTATTTGTTCAACTTATTCATTCTTCGTCCTCTTTTTGTATCGGTAAACAGCCGAAAGATATTTGTAAGTAATTTGAGGCTCATGTTACATTCTTTATCCGGAAAGAAATACTTTTTTTAAGCTTCTTTTTATGCCTTTAACATAACAGCGAGCAAGAAGTTTCATGCACTTTCTTGATACATTAATGCCCTGACTCATAAACAGTATAAGATATATTTCTTTTGCAAGTTGAGTTTACAGTTTGATTTATGGCATAAAAGTCAATTTGTATAGACATGGAAAAATTTCTCTTTTCTATTTCTATAGAAGCATAACAGCAGCAATAATGACGATAATGGTCGGAAAGTGAATATGAATGGATTTACAGTAGGATAAAAGTTTACACAAGAAAGATTTTATCGTGACTTCTTAAGAAAAATTTATAAAACTTGGAAGATTTAATTACTGAAAAAGTTTGTGAATTATCATAAATCATTTTGGATTGGGTAAATTTTTAATTTGCGAGTAATTTGCTGGAATATTTTAGTTGGTCTACTAGAGTTTATTTGTTCTGGATGAGCAGCTTTTTGGGTCAAATTATAGTGTTTCTAGCGTTTTTAAATAGTTTATTGAGTTTTCCGCCAAGATAATCATGAATGTTTGAAGTTTTGAGACCTAAGCTTATTAGGATATTATACAGAAGATTTAGACTCTAAAATTCAATTTTTGCTCCTTAATCAGCCCGCAAACCCTCAACAATCTCTTCACAGTTAATAAGTCATGCATAACAATCCAATTTAATGAACACTCGTAGTGCTCAATTATCCTTCATGTTATTCTCCGCCCCTTTTCTCCCTCACCACATGAATTGCTGTATACACTGATGTACAGGAAGTAATAAACGGTTAATATTCGCATACATAAATGCACTGACAATGAATAAAAAGAAGCAGCAGACAAAAAAAAAATTGAACTGAAATTTATAGCCTCAAAAATGTACAGAACTATAGTTTGTATATGCTTAATTTCCATCCAGATCCAATAAAATTATTATCATATATTCGATATACATGAGGAAAGAAGAGCTAGTGAAAGAGCAAGGCATTAATTCCAATTTGTAGTATTTGAAAATAAACGAGCCATAACATCAGAGCCAATATTTATTTCTTTTTAATGCGTTTGGCTATGAATGATTGTGGATTATTGGCTCTTATTGAACTTGGATGTCTGACTGGATCTTCTTTAAACTCTGTAAATCTGGTTTCTAGAGCTAAAATTTAATGTGACTAGGGTTTCACAAGTCGTATCGCTAGAAAAACCAACCCTGAGCTCAATTCACTTCCTAAACAGTTCAAACTGAATGCGCTGCATTTAATGGCGCGTAAACAAACATTTCAAAACTAGATTTTGTGTGTGCTATTCCCTACTTTTCCGCCCATCACTCCATCTCCGTTTCATTCTCATGATGTTTATTATCCTAATGTTGAGTCTTTTATGCGATTTTTATGATGATAATTTATCATTTTTTTGCTCCTATTTGTTCTGCTCATTTGAACATTTTATGATATTGGAAATCATTATAGCTGTATCTATAGCTTTTTGCCCTAACAGACAAAGAGCACGATCTGAGCATGATTTTTAAAAATCAATATTTTAATTTGATGACGCTAAATTCGCGTACTCTCCCATACAAATGGAGATCGCAGCAGGGTACCACAGAAATCACGCTCTCAAAAGTACGCTTTTTTACTTGCAAATTTTTCATGCAAGTTAAACTTGAGAACATGATCAAGAACATTTATGGTTATTGCCGTGATTCGAACCCGAGTACGCTGTGTTGTAGTTTGTCCTGATAACTGTTCATCTTGTCTAATGCCTTCTGAAATTAAATAACTTTCGAATAGCAAAAACACATATTTAAACTATAGAAAGTCCAAAATAATTACTTATAAAAGTGATTTCTGCTTTCTCTTGTGAAGTATATAGGACCAATACTAGTGATTTCTGCTAGCGCTTGTGAAGTATATAGCAAGAAAAATTTTAACATAATCTCATGAGGATGTGAATGATCATGCTTTTTATATACTCTTCTGATCATGCTCTTGAGAGTACATAAAAGATTATGAAGGAAAAACTTGCATGCAAGTTATTTATAATTAGAGGATGATTGAGTCCGCTGCTGAACATGCTCTTTACTGGGATCTTGAGAGGATGTTAAATAAGCGTATTCTCAACCGTACTCTTAATCAAGAGCATGCTCTTTGTCTGTTAGGGTTGTAAGGCTATTGAGAACGAAAGATGAATGAAAAATGAAATTCATAGACAATTAAATAACAGTGAATATTATAATAATATTTTTTTTTTGCGATGCTATTCATGCTGATGCTGCTATTAATTCCCTTTGTGAGTATAAAATTTTTTTATAAATTAATGAGAAAATGTCATTGATCGTGTCTTTTTCTCGGTCATCATCCCTTTAATTGTGTATATACAACATTATTTTTAATCGAAACTGTCGATTTAAGCTGTATTTTTGTGACTTGAAATGTTTACTGGATGTGAGATCCAGTGATAATTAATATCTGGATTTGAGATCCAAAACAGTGAAAAATATGATTAATCGAGCACTTTCAGCTTTCAGTAAGTAAGCATAGGATACAAAAGAGCTATATCTCACCTTGCAAGTTCTTTTAAGTTTATTTCAGTCATTTAATCACTGTTTAATTAACAATATTTAAATGTAAACAAACATGACTTTTTTTGTTGCACTTTTTCACATTTATTAAGTTGTTTTCATAATGTTTAATGCTTAAGAACTTTCACTTATCACTGCATTTCTTGAATGCACAAAAATGTTTACTTAAATTAACTTGTAAAATATTAACTGTCATTTGAGATTTGAATTTTCTTCGTTTAATATTCGTTAAAACCGAAGGGTGAAAAACCATTCGATCAAATTTTACGAGAATATATTGTGCGCTCCTGCGAAAAATAAAGTTTTGATAAATTTTATTAATTATAGAAGTATTGTGACAGTTTAAGTGATATTTTCATCAAGAAACACGTACTAGAAACTTAAAGTAAGTAAAGGTTTATGAAAAATCAGTGGATTTCAAGAAAAAATCTTAAAAATTCATTATTGTAAGAAAAAAATTTAAAATTCGCGCAATTAATGCCTTTTAATCAAAAACAGCTTGATTTAAAAGCTTTATAATGCATTAATAAACACTTCTAGTTAACAAGAATCCACAAATTCATTAAATTTCACTATTTTGAGGTTAATATATTTTCAATGCTCATTATTTTCAGATGGGAGATTGGTCAGACGACGAAAAAACATCAGCTCCAGCACCAAAGGTAAGTTATTATCATAATACTAGTATTTGTTTAATGCTTTATTCATCTACAGCGTGCTACAGCTTCAAAAACTCAAACTGATGATTGGGGCAGTAATGATAGACAAGATAACAATGATGATCGGGGAAATAACTTTTCAAGAGGTAGAGGACGTGGAGGAGGTCGAGGTAGAGGTGGTGGTAATTTTGGTGATCGTGAAAACAATTCTGAAGGATTTGGTGAGCGTCGTGGTAAATATAATCGAGAAAATCGTGATTTTAATGACAATGGAGAAGAAGGAAGTGATAATCGTGGATCTGGTAGCCGTCGAGGACGTGGTGGGTTTAATAGAGAAAATCGAGAAGATTCAGACCGTCCACCAAGACGTGATCGCAATGAAAACAATGATAATGGAGATAATCCAGAAGAACAGAAACGCGAGGTTTACATTCCAGCTGAAACGACTGAAGAGGAACTGTTTGCATCATCAATTAGTGCTGGAATAAACTTCGATAACTTTGACAAGATTGAAATTCACGTAACTGGTAAAGGATCTGATGATTTTGACCAAATTAAGACATTCGAGGAAGCTGAATTGCGTGACTTCTTGCTGAATAATGTGAAGAAATCTGGATATAAGAAACCAACGCCAATCCAAAAGCGAGCAATTCCTATTATTATGGGCAAACGTGACTTAATGGGATGTGCACAAACAGGCTCTGGAAAGACTGCAGCTTTTGTTCTGCCAATTTTAAATACAATCATGAACGATAAAGATACTTTAAATCCCGGCAAGCCTCAATGTTTAATTGTAGCACCCACTCGTGAATTAGTCATTCAAATACGCGATGAAGCTATGAAGTTCGCTTCTGGATCTTATGTCAAAGTCGCATTAGCTTATGGAGGAGCTGCTTCACGTTATCAAAGTGAAAATATTGTTCAAGGATGTCATGTTCTTGTTGCTACGCCTGGCCGTTTGATGGATTTCGTCAATAAAGGAGTTATTTCTTTTGATGATCTGAAGTTTTTAGTCTGTAAGTATTATATCTTTATTAACGGTTTTGTAGAATTCAAAAGCCGTTAAAAATCTTCAATTCACAGCATATTGATCAATTTTTGTTCCTTAATAGTGGATGAAGCTGATCGCATGCTTGATATGGGATTCCGTGACACAATCGATAAAGTCTGCAATCACAGTACATTGAACAAAGACAGTTTGACAATTATGATGTTCTCAGCCACATTCCCAGACGAAATTCAACGTCTTGCTGCTCAGTATTTGCGCAACTATTTGTTCTTGACTGTTGGAATTGTTGGCGGTGCATCAGCTGATGTAGAACAAGAATTTATTGAAGTTCCTCGACGTGAAAAGCGACAATTATTGACTGATACATTAACTCAATACAGCAAGAGCACTGATGAAGATCGCATTTTAGTTTTCGTCGAAACTAAGAAAACTGCTGACTATTTGGCATCATTCCTGTCCGAGACTACATTAAGGTAAGGATTAAACTGACTTTTAAGTTTTTTAATGATTAATCAATTGATTAACTTCTAGTACCACATCTATTCATGGTGATCGCTTGCAACGTGAACGCGAAGAAGCTTTGCGAGACTTCCGAACTGGCAAACGAAAGGTTTTGATCGCTACTGCAGTTGCTGCTCGTGGATTGGACATTAAAGGCGTTACGCATGTCATTAACTATGATTTGCCAAAGGAAGTTGATGAATATATTCATCGGTGAGTTGAATAAGCTTATTTTGAGAGTTTTGAGTGCGATGAAATTTGGTTCCAGGATTTAACTTGTCTGTAGCTATTTTCAAGCTGTACTTTTAAACTTGACTCTTAATCCACAGCATTGGACGCACAGGACGAGTTGGAAATCGTGGAAAGGCAACAAGCTTCTTCGATCCAGATGTTGATCAAACTATTGTTTCGGATTTAGTTCGAATTTTAACACAAACTAAACAAGCTATACCTGACTTCTTTGGTGGAATCAGCGCTGGATCATGTGGAATGGCTGATAAGTATGGAGGATCTGATATTCGTCAGCCTGTCGCTGCTGGTGCACCACAAAAAGATGAAGACGAATGGTAAACTGTTAATTAACTATTTTATAAGTACTATGTTTAATGCTGCTTTAATTTCTATGATACGTGATAATGAATTAGTAACGATATAAAAACTTAATAAAGAGGGCGCGTTAATTTATAGCCCATACTAGCAAGTTCGAGTAAAATGAACTTGAAGAAGAAAGTTTGTCTTGATTGTAATGAACTTCGGTAGATTGTTTTTTTTTTAATTCATTATTAAAGCATTAGAGTTTATGTAGATAATGTGAAGTTTATAAGTTAAATGAGTGAATTGTTTATGTGGGCTAAAAAATTGAAAAAAAAAACCCAACGTGAGGAAAATTTTATACAAAAAAAAAGTAAATAAGTACTCAGGTAAGTATAAAAAACATATAAAGTAGTTAGAAGAACCACTTGGAAACTAAATAATGATACCCATAACTTTTACAGTAATGTTACAGGTCTTGGAAGTTTGTGTTTAAGTCGATATTCAAGATGAGAGTAGTCGTATTTTCCAAGATTATTGATCAACGTGTTCTTATAACTGTAAATTAATTTCTCATAGAGAGATATTATTTACTGTCAGTTCCATATATTACAAATAGATTCCATGAATTATGCTAGGTAAAATAGAAAATTATAAAGAATACTTAATTTATCGTTAAGAATCACTAACGGTTATTAATAATTCAAACTTCAAAACCTTACAAATGCAAATCCTCAGAGTGAGTTCAGAAATAGATAAAAAAAACGAAGAAAGCAAGAATTAAAAAATTTAATTAATTAAGACACAAAAGAGTAAGTTTCAAAAAACAATTTGTAATAAAAATATTAAATAAGTCCTATTCTAGGATTTAAACATAAAATAAGGATAAATAACCATTCATCTTTGGACTACATGACATGCACTCAACAACTGAGCTATTTAAAAAGGAAGCAAAATATATCTTACCTGTTGCGGGATAAATTTATTATTCGGCTATTATCATGACAAAAAAGTGCGTCATTTCCTTTGATGGTTCCTTGCCAAGGATTAATAGGCTTAGAAGCCTAAGGAAGAATGATCTGATGCTAGTCTCTGCTAAAAAGAAGGTATTAATAAATGATTTGACTCACGCTGGATGTAAACTACTTAATCAACTACCGAATGAAATTAAAGCTACAAATGTCCTATTTATCTTTAAGAAGGATGTAAGACAATTCCTACTAACTCGAAATGAATCGCTTGTGAAATCTGGTCAGTTCTGTTCGAGGAGCTTCTTTATTTAATCACTTATTAATCACTAAATGTCAGTTATTAATTATTATCAATATATTTTGTTTGTTTACAAACAAATGCAAGTCTACAAAATTAATTGTCTACATGCATAGTTTAGAGCATAGTGTTGGGTAGATTTAACCAAACATTTAGTCACTTTTGTCTAATAACGAAGCAATTTGGAAGCAAAATATAATAATTAATTATCGCGTAGTAGTAAAGAGATGTCGTTTAATGAGGAAGAAGTTCTTCTCCTTTGTGAAAGTGATAATGAATTTAATAAGGAATTAGACGACTCCAAGCACTTGAACTCAGAAACCTTAATACTCAAATTCATTACAAAAAGTGCAAATAAGATTAATTCATTCACATCGGCAATACATAAACTGCTTACGGATAATAAAGTGCAAATTAAAGGCTTATACTCAAAAGGTGAGCAAACGCTTCTTATCGAAGTCCTGTTAACCACCTTTTTCGAAATGTGGTTACATGAACTGGTCGGAGAGCGTAATAATGCTTGTACGTTGAGTGATAAGGTTAAAAAGGACATAATGAAGAATATATTTGGTAAATTCAACCTGATCTTAGTGAATTTGATTTTTGTGCCTGGTATCGAAGAAAGACTAATGAAGTGCAAGTCGTCTTTTTATCCATTTGGTCCTGTAATGGAAATTTCTTTAATTTGAAAGCAAATTGCTTAAAGGAGCCTCCTGAGTTAATCATAAAGAAGATCATACTTGAATTAACTAAAGATGATAAATTTCTGAATATCTTTGGTATACGTATTGAGTGCTCAGCTTTGTATGAATATTCAGTTAGGCTTATTATAAATAGGCAGATCATCAACAACAACCTCGTTAAATCATTGTGTGAAAAATTTGGTCTCTTATCTTTTTGCCCATCAACTCTACATCTCATTCCTAGCATCCAGATCAGTAAATTCACAAAAATTATGAATGACTCGTATGAGGCGAGACAGCTTTGGTCAGAGTTTAGTGAAATTGATGTTTTACTATGTAGCTCTAATGAGCAAGCATTAGCAATGAAGAGAATGAATCCAAAGAAAACCCTAAGAAGGTACAGCCTTAACAAATTGTTCGTAATAATCTCACTGCCACATCATCATCAGATAATACCAAATCCATATTTGAAAGACTGGGTCCCAGAATTAGCGCTCATCCTTCACATGTTTCATTTGAATCGCACCTCTCTTCTAGAAAGTACGATAATCTTCAAATAACTGCATGTTTCAGAACCTCATCAACATCGAAAGTATCAAAATATAAGTCTTGCATTGAAGCTAATCTGAAACCTTCTTAAGCATTTTCCCAACTTTAAAGTAATACTTACAGTGCAACTTGTTATGAATTAGTGGATGTAGGAAATAATTAATACTAGATTATTAAGGTTTTTTCTTTCTCCTTTTCTTCTTTTTTACCCGTTTGGGCTTTTTTCTTCTTTTTATTGTGTTTTTTGTATTATGTATTATTACTTAAGAGTCACACTGTACTTAACTAAACAACCGTTTATGGTTTTCAATAAATTGAAAAAAAAAAGCGGTTATTAATAATTCAAACTTCAAAACCTTACAAATGCAAAACCTCACAGAGTGAGTTCAGAAATAGATAAAAAAAACGAAGAAAGCAAGAATTAAAAAATTTAATTAATTAAGACACAAAAGAGTAAGTTTCAAAAAACAATTTGTAATAAAAATATTAAATAAGTCCTATTCTAGGATATAAACATAAAATAAGGATAAATAACCAGCCTGAAAAGCTGAAATAAAAAAGAAATTTAAAGAATCTTTTCCTCGTGGTCTCATCCTTTTTCAATTGACTTCGTGCGGATATTTAAGATTGGAGATCCAGAAGCTTGGCTTACTAAAGATTCCAGAGGAAGTTGAGGAACATTTTCCATAAAATTTGATAAAATTTCAACAAGTAAGTCTGAAATTCCAAATTATAAAAAAATTTAAAAACAATTAAGGCTATTTAATGTTAAAATCTCGATAAACCTTAATTAATTATAAACAAACATTGCTTTGTCGTCATTTTGAGCGACAATGACTGTCAATTCTATGATAGAAGTTTAAAATGAACTTGAAAAACAATTAGAATTGCATTATTTGGAAAATTGACAGTTAAATTTAACGGAAAGATTTGAATTTTTATAACCAACTTCAAGTCGTAACTCTCGAAAATTCAAATTTTATTTTGTCGTTATTGTTTTGAATTTCATTTTTCCGTTAAATAATTTGGGCGATTCTTCAGAAGAATTGAATTTTTCAAAAGTGAATTGTAATTCTTCTTTTACTTGACTCTTCAAATTTGAGAAAACCGTTGCAAAATATCTGTTTCAAACGATTTTTTCCGGTTCTATGGTCAATTGTAGGTTGAAAATTTTATTTACATGCATTTTAATGATTATTATAAGATAAAGTTTAGATCATTAACATTTTTGTGCCAAATAAACTACTGAAAGTTTTAAGACTGTTTTTATCAAATTTTAAATTTTTCGTTGAGCAGATTTTCCGCTATAAAGCGTTTGAGTTGCTCGGCAACATTGAATTTTGTTCGAAGAATCGATTTTTCTCTTAATTAAAGCAGTAAATAAGTAAAGGAGCAACGCAGAAGTTTACCAGCTTTTTAAGGAGGCTGATATAGTGAAAAGGATTAAAGTAAACAGGCTCCGATGGGCTGGACATATTATAAGGAGACCTGTGGAAGCTCCATTAAATAAGGTCTTTAAATCTGACTTCGTAGATGGCAAGAGATCACGTGGGCGGCCAAAGAACTCGTGGAAGGAAGCTGTTGATAGAGACAGTATAGCGCTTGGTATTGGAAATTGGCAGACGGTAGCCAGCGATAGAACTAGTTATAGGCGTCAACTAAGGGAGGTCATGGATCACAATTGATCTGTACGACCAGCGAAGTAAGTAAGTAGTAAAGCATTAAATCAAAGATGAATTATTTAAATATGATAAAACTAAAGACGATCTACCATTTAGTATGTATTAAGTGTAATAAAAATATTTCTTGGTTGTGATTTTTTGATTCTTCGTAATTGAATTTCATTTTTGGTTGCCGAGCAACGCTTAAAAAATTGAAAAAACTAATGATTTAAGCTAATTATTGATTTCTAAATGACTTTAAGAGAAAGAATTTGGAAAAAAAAACATCTGTTTTAATTAAAAACAAACATGCTTTAGTTGGAAAATTTAAAGAAAAATCAATTTGAAAGTGATTTTTGGCTGATATCCCCGCTGTAGAATCGCCCATTTATAAATCATTAAATGCTCAATCTCTTATAGAAGCATATGAATCTATAGTCAAATTAAATCTATTAATCACTTACAATTAACAGAGTCAAGCTCTTTATCATCAACAATAACTCAAATTCACATATGTAATTCAATACACTTGCTTAATCTCCAACAAGCTTGACATTGAGAAATTCAATATGTCAGCATTCACATTACTTCCAGTCTAGCCATTCTCGAGAATCAAATATAAATGAAATCATTCAAGGACATTAAGAAACTTTAAAATAAATAAGAGCACAAAAAGTTATCAAATAAAACACAAGAAAATCTCCAATGAGAAGATTACAAATTCATCACCAGCAACAACGCCAAAAATCCCTCTCCTCAATTTCTCGATCTATCAATGACAATGAAGTCTCTTTGTCTTGCATCATTGTCTCAATGACAAAATATTATATGATGTAATAGGAATGTTTTTTTTTTTGCTTGCTGCCATTTATGTCCCACAGCAACTTAGTGGGACATATGAGAACAGCGAGAGAAAGCTGTAATGATTTATTTGACGCCATAGCATTCCCGTTTCCATTAGTCATATCTCTCGTTCTATATCTCATCTATTTTGAAATTGAGAAATGTGTCGGATGGGAATCTAAATAAATATACA